AGAGATCTGTGCAAGCGCGGCAGATAGTCAGATATGGGATCTGAGAATGACATAAATGGTATGGAATAATGGGTGGAGATTGTATTGGGTCTGGCTGAGATGGTGTTCATTTCCCCACAGTAGCCCTCACAGTACTGTGCTTTGCATTGGTAGCTAGAAGGGTGTTGATAACACACTGATGTTTTGGCTACTGCTCAGCACAGCATCAGCACTGTAACATTCATTCCCCAGTCAAGGGCAAGATTCTGGGAGGGGACACAAGTAGGCCAGCTGATTCAAACTAACCAAAGGGATATTCCATACCATATGACGTCAGCTCAGATATAAAAGCTAAGGCAAGGAGCAGGAAGGCAGGCATTCATTGTCTCCAATGGCTGCCTGCTGAGGAAACATTATGCGTGCTGAAGCCCTGCTTCTCAGAGGTGGCCGAGCATCACTGCTGATGGGAAGTAGAGAATAAACCTTGTTATCTTTCACTTTGCTTTTACGCATGCAAGCTTTTGCTTTGCTTCTGCTTTAATAAACTGCCTTATCTCAACCCACGAGTTGTTTTCCATCTTACTCTCTCCCCTCTCTGGCTGGGGAGGGGAGTGAGAGTGGCTGGGTGGGCACCTGGCATCCAGCCAAGGTCAACCCACCACAAAGTGGTACCTCCAAACAAACAACTCTGGGACCCCCACCACCGAGAAGACCAGGATGAAGAAGGAACAGCGGGACACTGCAGGGATTCACATGGTGGTGCTATCTTTTGCTTAATGTCTCTCTCTCACTTCTCTTTCTCTTCCCACCCCCTCCCTATTTCTCTCTCTACCTCACATTTACTGTTAAATAAAATCCATACTGTTAAATAAAATCCATACTGTTGACTTTGGCATATGGTCTCGTTTGCACCTTAATTAGGGCATAGGCATCCCTTTATAAATGCATCATAACATTCCCACATTAGGATTGGGTTAAGCACCAGTCACTAGAATACAATCCAAGATCAGGATCACAAGGACTTTGTATAGTTGCAACAGGATAGATAACTATGGCTATATGGGCCAGCAGAAAGCAACCAGGAACAGCAAGCATTTATCTCAACATATGTTCCCATTAGCCTAGGTTCCGCCAAGAGCCCAGCAACACTCCTAAAGGACAGGTCAAAAGAAGCCAAACTCAAAACTTTACAAAAACTGTGTCCAACTTATCCTTCTTAGACAAGAGATAGAGGACATGGTTAAAGGTAGATCTGAGAAAGGACATATGTTTTGGCATTAACCATCTGACGGTCTGAATATAGGCATAAACATTGTAGAAATAGTCTGAAGAGATTACAAAGTCACAGTTTAGTTTATCTTTAGAGTTCAATAGAGAAATGCTACCAGGTGTCAACACAGTAGTCTCTGCTGATGCAAGCATCATCTCAGTGCACGCTGATACAGCCTTGAATCAACAAAATATTATGGCAAGATTATGAGTCATCACACCCAATACTCCCTAACTGACAAGTTGAATTTCCAAAGACTGGAGAATATTCTTGATGAATGACAACGGCTATCATCTTTTGATCATTTAGCATATGCCACATCTACCTCTCATTCACAAAGTTCAGGATGCTGTGTGAGATAGCACATGTGGGATGGAGAGGTGGTTGGTGTCAGCTGGAGGCTGAAAGAGGTGTAATTCCAGGTTAAAAATAATAAGAAAGTCCCAGAATTGTCCTACTGTAGTGGCTTTTTGTGGAAATGTCTTTAGTAGCAGATGGGCTGCAGGAGTGGCTTCTGTGAGAAGACACCAGAAGCTGCCCCCATGTCCAACAGAGCCAGTTCCAGCCAGCTCCAAGATAAACCTGCTGCTGGCCAAGGTTGATCCCATCAGCGATGGTGGTAGCACCTCTGGGATAACAGATTTATCAAGGGGTAAAAACTGCTGCACAACAGCAGGCAGAAGATAGAGCAGTGAGAATATGTGAGAGAAACAACTCTGCAGATACCAAGGTCAGTGAAGAAGGAGGGAGAGGAGGTGCTCCAGGTGCTGGAGCCCATGGTGCAGACCATGGTGAAGCAGGCTGTCCCCTTGCAGCCCATGGAGGTCCCTGGGGGAGCAGAGATCCACCTGCAGCCCATGGAGGATCCCACACCAGAGCAGCTGGATGTGCCTGAAGGAAGCTGTGACCCCATGGAGAGCTCACACTGGAGTAGGTTCCTGGCAAGACTTGTGGCCCTGTGGAGAGAGGAGCCCACATGGGAGCAGGTTTGCTGGCAGGACCTGCGAGCCCATGGAAGGGATCCACACTGGAACAGTTCATGGAGGACTGTCTCCTATGGGAGGGACCCCATGCTGGAGCAGGAGAAGAATGTGAGAAGGAAGGAGTGGCAGAGACAGTGTGATGAACTGACCACAACCCCCATTTCCCATGTCCCTGCACTGCTCAAGGGGAGGAGGTAGAGAAGCTAGGAGTGAAGTCAAACCTGGGAAGAAGAGAGAGGTGGATGGAAGGTGTTTTAAGATTTGTTCTTATTTCTCATTATCCTGCTCTGGTGTTAATTGGTAATAAATTCAATTAATTTCCTCAACTCGAGTCTGTTTTGCCTGTGACAGTAATTGCTGAGTGATGTCTCCCTGTCCTTATCTCAACTCATGAGCCTTTTGTCATATTTTCTCTCCCTTGTTCAGTTAAGGAGTGGGCACTTGGCATCCAGCCAAGGTCAACCCACCACAAACATATAAAATATAGAAAGTGATCTGAGAAGCAGCAGCACCAACATGCACACACTCCAGAAAATAACTCATTAACAAAAGAAGAGAGGCCTGAGTTCAGATCAGGGGACATTAAAAAAAAACAAAACAAACCCAAAATAAAATCCCCAAAAAACTAAAGCAGGGCAGTGCTACTATGTTATACGTCAGGTTTTATGCCTGCCAAACCAAAAAGGAACAGCTACAGTAACAGAGCATCTAAATGATAATTTTCATTTACAAAGAAATCAGTAAAACCAAACTTCTTTCATTACCATATTTTTCAGTTAATCTGAACTAAGGAAGATCTCCTAGCACCATGCCTCCTGGGAAGTACCATCTAGATACCTATACCTCAATCTTTAATGGCTTGGAATCATATTTTATTCTATCAGCTTGCCTACTTCCTGAACCTCTGCCAGTAAGGAACTGCATAAGAAGCTGGGGGAAGCATGGTCAGGACAGCTGACCCGAACTGGCCAAAGGGATATTCCACACCATAGAATGTCATGCCCAGTATAAAAACAGGAGGAAAAGCTAGCCAAGAGCTGCTGCTCGGAAACTGACTGAGCATTGGTTGGTGAGTGATGAGCAATTGCATTGCACATCACTTGCTTTGTGTATTCTAATTATTTTATCATTATTATTATATTCTTCCTTTTCTGTCCCAATAAACTGTCTTTATCTCAGCTCACCAGTTTGAGTTTTCCTATTCTCTCCCCCATCCTGCGGAGGAGGGGGGAAGCAAGCAGCTGTGTGGTGCTTAGTTGCTGGCTGGGGTTACATTACAACAATGGTATAAAGCACATGAACAATTAAAGTATGATAGCATACTCATTAACAACTAAAAATTTAATACTTTATATCTACATTAGCACCTTGCTCAAAGAGTTAATATGCTGGCCAATTCAGGTCTTCAAAGTGCTCTCTCAAACTTGAAGCATTCCCCCAAGGCCTTAAAGATTATCAGATTTGCTACATAGGATGCATAAAAACATTTGGATATATTCCAGCCTTCAAATATTAAAATATACTTTCTTCCTCCTCCCTCTTTTGTTTTTCCTGAAGTGAGCTTACAGCACAACCAAAACACGAGTTCAAACATAATATATATGTTCTTGATGATGCTCTAAATGTTACAGGGCCCACATGTAAGTAAAATCTAATTTAAAGTGAAAAAAGCAAGCATTCAAAAACTCAGAGGTCAAGCATTAGAAGGCAGAAAAAGCACTAGTAGCAGGACACTAAGGAAAAAAACAACTCTCCCCCC